TTAATTATTTTTCGGATAAATTTTGTGAACTTAAGTGAATTGTGGGATTTCCCCAAACATGGTGAGTGTGGTCAAGGTTTCTTTACATTTTAAATTTTAAAAATTCCAAGGTCTGCAGCTTTTGCTGATAAGAGCTTAATATTATTATTTATATAAAATGCACTAAAATCAATTGTGCTATACCAAATGGTAGGCACGCAAATATTAGGGCAAAAGCCCTTTTTGTATAAGTTCAACTTCCTTTTAAAATCTAACTTTATTTATATGTCATAATTGCAACATAAGCTGATTTTTAATTGCTCTGTGGCAACTAAGCTCGTATGCTTCAAATTATATAGAATTATGAATGTTAAAACATTAAAATGTGTTGTAATTTGATAAAAATGATTACAATAGTTTTAATCTTTGGTGTAAATTAAAGTCTTATATTAATGTGATATGTTGGCTTTTTTTTTTGCGATATACCACCTTGATCAAAATGTTTCCGGAATAACAACCGTGTGGCGCTCCCATCTTTACAGTTTGAGTTGTATTTCTTTTTTGTTAAGATGGTACATCTGTTACGGAGTCAAGAGTAAATCCATCTCTGTGTGCTTGCGATTTTTTACAATTTTAGAAATGGATTTAAATTTGCAACAACGAGCATGTATTTATTTTCTTCGTAAAAACGGATTTAATGGTGCGCGAACGTTGGAAATGTTGGAAAAGTGTTTCGGCTGTAGAGTATCAATATTTTTTGCCAGACGGCCAGACGCTTGCGTTAAGCCATCCGCCGAAAAAGACCAGAATTGTAAATCCTAATGCCCGCGAACGAGTTTGTTTCCGATAATCAATAAATTGTTCCATTTCCAAGCAATAGATACAAATTGATATCGAAATCCCGTTTTTGAGCAAGTCTCTTAGTTTTAACTGCCGAGCTTCTTTAATTGTTTTTTTTTATTACAGCTTTATCAAATCTGCAGCTGTTGGTATTGCTAGAGGAGGCTTCAGGGTATGCCCTAGTCAGAAACTCCCGACTAGAGCATCTTAGATGTTTAGTAAGTTGCATGATACGAAGCAAAGCAGTAAATACACGAAAACAAGTGAAATTCGCCCATGCATGTGATGTTATGGTCCGTGGCACAAACAATTTAACGAGTAATAATGACTTGTTTGGAAATACTGAACGCAAAGATACCCCACACCAAAAGGTAAGGCATCTTTCATTATCAACTTTATTTGCGCCTACCTGCAAATACATTTTTTTACGAATTAACTAGTTTTAGGACATTCAAACAGTATATCGAAATTATGTGCTATGTGCATACTCCTATTAGCATAGAAGAACTTTCGTAAAACTAAATATTTATTCAATTAATAGTTTTACGATTAAAGATTCCGATGTCCATCTAATTTTATCCAACGTCGGGGAAGTAATTAAAAAAAAAACAGTAAACCCTTGTTATTTATAGTTATAAAGAAATATGATTATATTTATAAAGATATATAAACTTAAAGGGTATACTTGTTGGAAAATCATTTAAAAGTTGTTGCTATGGTGCTGATTAGTCTTAAATCTCTCTCAGTGAGAAGCTGTTCAGCATGTTCACAAAACTTTTTCAAACATTTAACATTGTCCATATATGTCTTGGTAAATTTATCATTTAAATAAATTTTTTTTAAATAATAATATGGGACCAGCTCTGTGCTTTACGGTTTAGAAATGAAATATTTAATCCATCAAAAAAAGAACCAACGGATTCCGCCCACGTGAAAATCTTGAAGTAGCAAAATAAACTTTCGTTTATTAAATATTAAACATGCCATTTCATACAATAATAGTGGATTTCTCGAAAAGCTTATCAGATAAATTTACACAAGAATTTTTGAATTTAATTTTGAATGCGATCAGGTGAAAAGCAAACAAGTTGCGGCTGGAGTTTTTAAATTGATGAAACACATTTTTAATAGAGTAATAGTAGAGTTTTAAAATTAAGTTTAAAAGAGATCGGACGAAACCTGAAAATTTGTTAATAAATAAATTATAAGAGAAAGTAAATTAAAATTTACTTTACATTAATTTGTATATAAATAAGAATATATTGCAAATTTGTTAAATCAGTTCTTGATATACTGTACACACATGCAAATGAAAAATAATTGCATCTCAATCGATTAATATACCCTGAACCCATTGAGCTAATCTCTTAGGTTAGACCCTAGAGCTAGAGTCACCAAATGTAGCTTCTTATAAGTTACATACCTTCATTCATTCGCTTGGAAGAGACCAGAAGGCACTGATCGATTCCAAAATAAATCATAAAGCAAACGCACTCAGCGCGAGCTGCTGGGGTTGAGGGTATCCCCAAGCGTTTCTTAATTGTATTAATTTTATTGTAATTTATTTTGTTTCAGGGACAATTACTCTTTTATTTATAACGAGTGTTTTCCCAGACAATATTCGGCAAAATACAGGGGTATGTATAACAATGTGCTTAAGTTAAGAACATTTTTACAGCTTGCATCCATTGAATTATTCTTTAATAATTAAATATGCGTCTCAATTAGTCACAAAAGAAAAATGGCCTATGCGTATATTAAAGTAGTTTATTAAGAAACAATGCTCAATGCGATTGAAAGCTTTACACAAAGCATAGCATAATAAACAGCTTTGTTTGACAAAAGTCTCGCGACCCAATAAACATGTCTAATATTTGTATTCTTTACATTTCAGATGTGGTCTTATGATCCACAGGCTTTTCTTGTGTACAATCAAATAAGTAATAAGCACCCAAGTCAATATAGAAAACTGTACTGGTATCCGACTAGAATGCCAACAGTGCCCACCCAAAAACAGCGTATGGGAAAATTTTTAGTTACGCATGGATATGCAAGTGTACGGGAACATAGTCCATATAATGGACTCCAAATAAGGTATTTCTTAACATTACATTTTTATAGCCTCGTCATTAAAATCAACTTACTTTCAATTGGCTAAACTGTTTATAAAGTATAAAGTAATTCATAACGTTATTTTAATTTTTTGACTTTTAGGAACACGTTTAAGAATACTTACGATGGTTATTTGTCACCGCAAGTTCTGCGAACATATTTAAGATCTGCTAAATTACCTACGACATCAGCAACAACGACAACAGTAAATACAAATTTTAAAAATATTCATTCAGACTATAAAAGCTTTACAAATTGTAATGAACTTACCAATTTAACTTTACCTGTGAACAGAGATAACGCAAACGTTTCAAATTATTTTAAGGCTGCCGAAAGTATTTCAAACATTATGCCAAAAAATAACACGACATACGAACCATTCGTAGCACATACGTACTTTACTCTCGACGATGTCATTGTTCCCTATTCACCTGAAAACTTCAAATATAAAGCAAATCAGGAATTTATGAGCGAAAATAAATTGAAACCCCAAATCGTTGCTCAAGACAAACCATTTGCAAATAAGTTAACTGTCAAAATGCTGGATGATGATATTCATAAATTTGAGCCAATTAAATCCACTGAAACTATTATTACAACAACAATTGCGGGACTTCAAAATGTCAAGATGCTGGATGATTATATTCATAAATTTGAACCAATAAAATCCACTGCAACTATAATTGAAACAACAACTGCGGGACTTCAAAATGTCAAGATGTTTGATGATGATATTTCTGAATTTGAGCCAATAAAATCTACTGAAAATATTATTAAAATAACAACTGCGGGACTTCAACATTTAAATATTCTAACAAAAGTCGAAACGGACATACGCAAAGAAATTGTTAATTTGACAACATTAAATCAAGCAGGAACAACAAATATACCGAATGCAATATTAAATAAGACCAACAGTATCTCAAAAATAAATGTATCACACCGTGAGCACCCTAGACTATATACCTTTAATAAAAAAAAATGCGATACCTGCAGGAAGAGCCAGTTAAGCACTGAGAATAAATCATTAGGCAACCTTACGCATTATAATGAAAAGCCATTCAATGGTCTTTCGACAAAGAACGCATCAAAAATTTTAAAAAAGGACGACCGTACAGATAATAAATTCGTTTCGCTTAGAATTAAAAAAACACAAAACCAAAAAAATATTGGTCTTGTTAATTCCAAGTCCATTAGCACTACCGAATCTCCGCAATTTAAAAATATAAATAAAACAAAGCATTTTTATTTAAGACGTCGAAAATTGCATGCCAATGCAACAGTATTAAATGCATATAATTTGACACACGCAAATACAAATAGCTCAAAAATTATAAAACCCCAGATAGAACAACCCCAAAACAACTTTACCGACAGGCGAAAATTACGCAACGCACAGCTATTGAATGCAACCACAAACGTAATTTTGGCTCGTTCAAACGCGGATAACGAAGTAACAGCGCTGGCAGAAGAATCTGCTATTATGACAATATCGAATAATAATGGCAAAAGTAACAGAAAGTTACATTTTTTAGATGCTCCGGTTGTAAACCATCCGAACTTCGCGTATACTACTGATTTACCAAAACTCCCAATCGAAGTTTATTTTACGAAACTTACGCAAAACTGATTTGACCGGAAACACACTATACACAACAAATTAACCAATATCTATTCACCAAAGATTCAATAAATAAATAATTTTAAAACATTTGTAAATTTTTTAAAATTTATTTATTTGTATACTCTGAACCCATTAAAGTTTATATATTCTTGATCAGCATCAGTAGCCGAGTCGATCCAGCCATATCCGTTCGTCTGTCTGTCCGTTCGTATGTATGAGCATAGATCCTTCTAGTGCCCGCGCAGTCCGATCGAAATCCAGTTTTTTGAGCCAATCTCTTGGGTTTTAAGAGCCAGAGTCCCAAAATTTGACATGTAGATTCTTGAATATTTATATATATATCATTGCAATTGCGATTGTATTACATTTGAGGTGTGTGAGGTGTGTTTATGTGTTGCTCTTTTAAATTCGCTATTTTATTCGCAAAAATATAGAAATTCGCGACTCAACGATGATGATAATATTTATTAGTACACTCAGACACCGAAAACAAATTGTTCACTGATAAAAGTTGCCAAACAATTCACACTTAACAACCTGTTTTATATGCTGAACCATTAGTTCATTAATCAATAGTTTCAGAAGCTCGCATTCTTTATAAGGATGGTTTTCCCAGCGTTCATGTGCATCATATTCTTCGACATTTGTGATTTTTTCAATCCGATCGTGACAAGCCAAATGATTTCCAGAGTGCTTTTGATTGATTTTATTCACTAAATTATTTTTATTTGCACTTCTGCATATCGAAAGGGGTCTGCAACGCAACGAGCTTAGAATATTGGGAAGAGAACTTAAACATTTCACATTTTTAGACCCTTTCCAATGACTTTTTAATGCTTCAAAAGTCATATCCAGGATACAGCGTTTGTATATATTAAAATAGGATCCCTCTCTTTTACTCAAACAACATGCTTTGAATAGGATAAAATACAAAAACAAAAAATCTAAATTGACAAGCTTTTACCTACCCGAAGATGTAGGGAAATGGACAGGCTCCTTGTTTAATAGAATTATTGTACTCAAAAAGCATCGTAAAGCCCAATTTAGAAGTTCTCCAACGCATGCATGGGTTAAACTTTTTGGATTTTGGACGACTTCCTAAAAGATTACATAAAAAAAGTGAAGTTCATTTCAGGCAAGAGGAAAAACCATCTCAAGCTCTGACTATCCATGTAAGGTGGTTCTTGTTTTGTGATGCACGTATAAATCAAATTATATACTTACATCTGAATCAATTGTCATCGTTCTATCAGCATTTATATTTTTCTGTGGACACTTCTCAGACTTCATTTTAAGAGGGCTGACAATCGGATGAGATTTAAGTGTTGTAGGTTTCGCAATTAGTTTTAAAACAGAATCATCGTTATATAATTTTCTTGTCGCTGCTTGTTTAACAAAGCTCCTTTCGTTTAGATACGCTTTTTTTAGTAGTAAGTTTCGAGTGATAAAATTCGCAGCAACAAAACTTGTATATGAAAGTGTTCTCTTATCTTTGAACTGGAGATTATTTTGAAAAATTAGAAGTTTATTAAGTTGTTTCCAGAACTTCTTTGACTGTAAATTACAAACAATTTGTTTACAGATCGTTGAGCTGGATATATTATGCGACAATAGTATACAACGCACAAATTCTTGGCTTAAGTTTGTAGAGGTATTTCCTGCAAACATAGGTAAATGGCAAGGCCTATGATATCCCATTGTATTTCTTAAAATTGACTGGTTTTGCGAATTTTCAGTGACTAAACTTGACTTGTCCTTATTAAAGCGCAGTAATCTAGAAAAAATGTTTAAAAACAAAGAAGCAATGAAATGAGAGAAAAAGAAAAGAGCCAGTTATTTCAATTTATTTGAGATATTAGAATATATAGAACATGTGGAAATTAGGAAACTCGGAAAGAAACAAACAACACTGAAAAGGAAGCATATGTGATGATGTTTTGTTGTGTTTTTCGTCTATTTTTTATAATATTTTCAAGCAGCATACCTTTTTAAATATTGTCGTTCCTCTTCCATTTTAAGCATAAGTTTTTGCTGTTTTTCTTTAACTTTTAAAATTTTCTCCAGAAATCCTTTAGACTTGAACCGTTCTTTTTGTCTTTCAAACCAAGAAGTCAAATATATTGTTCGATCTATAAGTAATTGTTCGCGAAGTTTTAAAAGATTCTGTAAATTGTTGGAGTAAGACTCATCCGCATTAGTTAATTGTTTAGCCTATATGAGCAGTAAATAATGTTATATGTGATAAACAAACATTTAATAAGGACTTACCCAACCCTTAAGTACTAAATTTCTGACTCTTCTGTTATGTAACAAGTGTTGAAATCTCCACTTAATTTCTGAACTGGAATTTTTAAAAATCGTTTTACCTACAAAGAATTATTTGAGTTAATTTCCGTTTTTCTACTTGTGGATATATATCGCGAATGTACTAACATTTATAGCTGCGTCTGATGAGCTTATACAAATAAATAATTACCAAATTTTCTATTGCACTCAAAGAATTATAAAAATAGCTTGTTGGTGTCTTAGTCGGACATTTTTGCACTTGACCTGTTTCGCAACAACCTTTATGCAATTGCCAGCAGACCTCATATGCTACTTTATTTTTTCTCATTTTATTACGAAAAGTTTTCGAGGAAAAATGGACAGCTTTTATTTTTGTTTTTAACGCAAGTATAAAGTTGTAGCGATATCTAGAAACCGATTGCCGCTGATGCATAAAAGGCAACATAGTGCTAATTCTGCCCTTTAAAGTGCCTTCAAATTAAATCTGTTTATTTTAAGGTGCTCAGTTTCCAGACTCCGATTATATTCATTAACTTTTATCACGTTCCACTAATAGTTAATAGAACGATGACTGAATGAGACCTGCAATAAAAATAAAACGCGGTTTAATAATTCAATATTTTCCTCTATAAATTTTAAGAGGTGCCTCTAAATATATTTATATACTGTGTGATTCACGATGGACGTGAATGTCCAAAAGTCAATTACCTTATTCAAACCGTTTAAATGCATGTAATTGACGTTTTACCGTATTTTAGGTTTGCCCCTTCCCGTAAATTTTCAAAGCCCTCTTCCGGCTAGAAGTCATCCGCTCGTCGGTTCTCTCTACCCGAAAGATACGATTATTGGTATTACCCAAAAAACAGCGATAAAGGGCGGCTGCACGCGGACTCTCGACATGGCATGATAGGTGAATGGAAATTATTCTTTTATCGCCGGATTACTTTGTCATTGCGGCTACTACCAGGCTATGATGGACAGTCGCAAGGGCTTTGCCAACATGCTAAACTCTGCAATATTTGCCTCCATGGCGTTTCTGACCGCAAGCCCTTCCGGGCTCCCGCTTCGGGGGCCTTAACTCGCCCCAATCAATTTGCCGAGTTGGATGACACTGGCTCTAATATGGGCAAAACAATCAAAACAACCATCTTGAACTGCAATGCTAACTGCATTTCAGAAAAGCTTCGGACCTTAAATGCTTAATCAAACAAACGTGTAGCGCGAGTGCTGTCGGTGTTGGTAGAAGATCGTTCAGGGTGTTCCCTAGACGGGAACTCTCGACTGATCTCTTTGGATTGGCCCAGCGTATTATTTTTCATGTAGTCCTGGCCAGGCACTCTTGACCAGGTAAGTCATACTTTTCAAAATTCTGGCAACTAAAAGTTTAAATACCTTTTACACACTTCATCCAAAGTACTCGTTGTGTTAGTTTTCCTTACATAGCTCACACAGTTCTCATATTTATCAGAATTATAACATTTTTAAAACTAGGAAACGACTACACAAATTTTATTTAGTATGTATTAATGTTTTAATTATAATTATTCATGGCAATCTATATTTATATTTGAATGTCAAAAAAAGTGAGAGTTCCCGAAAAAGAGCTGAAGGCAAGTTGTTTGAAATATTGAAACTTCCTATAATACATGTATTATCAAATCAAAATGTAGACTATGCTGACTCAGAAGAAAAACGCCCCGCACCTTTCTATACCCTGTAGTTTGTTAATTGGCTGTGGCATTCTCTGTACTTGGACTATTTTGATATAAAAGAAAACCATCAAAGTAGGATTGGGTTAGGAATAAAAATTGAGGTGTCTAGCAAATGGAAACGAACAGACTTCAAGGGTCAGCAGGGTGAAACTCGCCGTATCGAAAATAGTTCGCAAGTACAGCAGGCTTACGCTTTTTGAAATCCTTACTTATAGCTCTGCAAGATGAGCTGCTACGATATGTTCATGTTGAGCATAACGCTATACCAGAGCTATATATAGATTTATTATTCTAAGTTTTTATTTCATTTATTTTTTTACAGTCAGTAATGAAAATGAATACAAAAATATTTGATTTTCATAAGATTCACATATGTCAGGATAATTATAACACATAGGGTCAAGAAATGAATTTTTCACCATCTCTCGAACATAAAATTGAGTTTATCAAATGATACTTGGCAGGAACCATATTAACTGAAATTAAAAAGCAAAACAAACAAATTATTAGGTTAATTAAACAAATAAATGCAGATATATAAACGAATAATATATTTTACATATTTACATGTAAAAAATTATTTGATTTTGTGTATGTACACTGCATAGATTTTATAATCTGCGAGAAATGTTAAGAATGTTCGGATATTTAATTAAACGGCAGCAAATATTTATAGTTCGCTCCGAGTATGGTAAACGAAAACTTTTGTTCCCAGTTTGGGATTGTCTGATACCTGAGAGCAACGTGGCAAACACACAGGCGAAGGTGTCTGGGATCTAGCTGGGATGCTGCTTTATGCCCTGTTACATTTACCATTAGCTAATCAGCCATTTCCAACAGGGTATAAAAGCTAGACAAAGAAAATAATAATTAGTTACTTACTCTCTCGCTAAATGTGCACCCGTGTCCGTTGACAAACAGCCAGCACCACCGCCAAAGCCATAGCCCTTAGGTCCATACTTGCGTCCATGGCAATTCTTACAGAATAGTGTCTTTTCATGCTCGGTGCAATTTGTTGAGTCCAAAGCCTTATTGCACATACCTTTGAGAAAATGATCAATTTGTATTTATGCTGTTCAAATAAGAGGATCATTAGCTACTTACTGCATTTAAAACAAGTTTTATGGAATTTGTAGCCACCAGCGACGCGCTCTTCAGCGGCGTACACGGACTTGCCGCACGCTGGGCATTTGGGTGTCTCTACCGGAACGAATGGCATTATATTATATCTGCAAGAGCTGTTTTAAATGGATATTTTTTTTCTGATTATTTAGAGGGCAAACAATTATAATATGCGTCAACTTTTTTTTCACAAGTATATGCGTAATGTAAGACCTTTGGTTCTATAAATACATTTAACACTTGTACATACCAACAATGGTACACTTGTAAAGAAGTTCCTGTATGTCAAAGACGATGCCGACTAAACTGGAAAGATTCTGTACTCTGGTAGTCTATATTTGTGGATGCACACGGCACAACAAAAAATATGTTTTGTTAGAAATGCGGCAATAAAGCGATAAATATAATCGACAGTTTTTTGTTTGGCTTTTGATTTCTACATAACCAGTATGAAAAAATGTAGATTACAAATATTTACTTAACAATTTATATTTTTATTAACAATTAAGTAAAATATTAAAGCTGTTACATGTTGTACATTCCTAACTTTTCATACATATATCCCCCCCTGGGCTAAAAGAGTTCAGAGCATATTCAAATATAGATTATTCTGCAACCATGCATGTACAACAACGTGCAGTCGGATGTATCCGACTCTGGAACGCTCTTAGCTGTATTTACTTATTGAATTTGCTGAACGGGGTCTTAAATATATATTATATGCTTGGCGACTCATGCTCAGTAGTGAACTTATTTTTAGCCAGATCTCTGGATGACGTCATCAGCAGTCTACATGCAAAATGAGATGGCTCCAGAGTGAACATGGACGGATATTTTGTGGCTTCAATATCGCGGCATCCAATATTACGCTTAAACAGAGAGACGAGACGGGTAGGCAGACGGTATATGTAAAAGCCATGTATGCCCTATGTGAACTGGGGATAAAAATACACCACATATTCAATCATCAGTACAGGCGTATGTATATACATATACATACATATATGCAGGCTTGTATATGCAGACAATGCTTATAAATATAAATAAATGTTGTACAGAAACATTCGAAAATGTACATGTGTATGAAAATATGTATATACTTATGCATGTATGTTATAGATTTGTATCGGTATTTAATATTTCCTTCCCCAATGCACAGTGGTTGCACTTGTGTGGAGAGCGCGGCCAAAAATGCTTCTACTGAAAATGTTGCGCTACAACTTTTGGCTGTGAAGTAGGTCAAGAATAAAAACTTTAATATGATTAGGAGATTCCTTAAGCCCCGCTGTGCTAAGATTCTTTCCATAACATAGTATTACATCCTTTTACCAGAAGGAAGCATCTCCGACCCCCTGTTATATTATATAGACGTTCATTTTATAAATATCACCACAAGAGGGCATGAAGCTTTTGGATCGAGCATCTTTCATTTTATATTTAGACATTAACACCTCCGCTTCCACCGCATACTTATAAATACAAAAAATAAATCAATTGAAACAGCCCACACACTTAAGCCACAAATTTAATGCAATTGCGAATATTCTATAATTTCACTGAGATCGGCTTAGTAATACAAAAGTTATTAAAGAAACCGTATCCTAATGTGGATTTACAAGCCACGTGTCTGCGGCAAATTTAGCGAATATATTGTATTTTGTGCTGTGTGTATTCGCTGCTTTTTTTGTTCCCAACTACAGCGACTTACTTGATCTTAACAGATCTTCATGCAATTCTTAGCAGCAGACCTTATGTCATAGAATTTAGAATATTCTCAAAAGGACAATACTATTGAAGTTGTAGTTTAAATTCGAGGGTAGTTCCAGATGTTTTATATATTTAATACGCGCTACATTTCTAATTTGATGTCACTAGCTCTCCGTTTTATATATAGTCCTGGTCAACCAAAACCTCGAAATTCGTGCAACAATTTCTCGGATATGGTCCTGAAATATGAATATGCATGCATTTTATTCAGCCATCCCCTACTCCCTCTATGGTTTCTAGATGACCCAAATATCCTTGGTCTTACCATACCATTGATAGAGTCCTGGGAACCTATAGTTCCAAATCCCAAATCAAATTTCCGGCAAAATTCGCCGGAAAGCTTTGTCCACATTTAAATTAAGGTTTAAAAATAAACGGCTGTAAAATAACAATTGCAGTGGGTCCCGGCCGTAAGCTCTCATTTTAAAATCTAAATTCAGCTGATCTACCAGGCGAACAGAAATGTCCAGCAGGTAGAGGAACATAAATTTTTGTGAATACAATTTTCATTGCATACCCACAAGGTGCAATAATGATCTTAACATTCAACTGCCTAATTAAAAATCGCCAATTTTAATAGCTACAACATTCTGTAAAGCTGCAGCAATATAAAGGGGGTACTGAAAGCAAAAAAGCATACATATTTCCGGGCAGCTTCCGTGCGCACTTTGCAGGGATTTAGTCCTTTAGGTGTGTCAGGTAGTCACAATAGTCACAATAGATATTATAGCTTCAACACTCAAGTAATAGACTTTATTTACATATATATTTACTAAGTTTATTTAGTGGATATACATTTTAGCTGTGTGGAATGACAATCTGTTCTTATTTGGTATTTACCGCTACTTTTCAGAGATTTTTCTAGCCTAATAAATAAATAAGTCAAAAGTAATTTAAAGAAAAAACTATAACTAAATTACTTTGATTATTGAGAAGACCATTCGTTAATTGAATAAGGACTTCCCATATATTGTTGTTGACGAATTGATTCGTTATTTGATTGGTGGCTTCCAACTGAATTCCAGGGTTGTCTAGGAAAGACATTTGAGTTAATATATGATCCGGAACTACCGCTATACCCAGCAGGTGAATGGAAATTGGAATGGTAGGGAGCGAAATTAAAATGTCCATAAGGGGCATAATTATTAATGTGATAGTTGGCTGTTGAGGGTGTATTCTTATTGTCGTAGTAATTATAATATTGGGGTGTGAACGTGTGTGGAACATTTTTACTTGAAAAATATGATTCTTCCGGCAAATCGTTATTAGAAGCTACAGGCGGTTGATGTATTGCACTCGACTGAATATTAGCAGAACTACTATAAGGTTCGACAATAGGTAACTGTGCTTCATGCTTGTACGGTTGCTGCTTATGGTACTCCAAGTCATTATGCATCTGGTGCAGACTTGCTGGCATGCTGTTTAAACTTTCAATTTCATTATTATTTTGCAAAATTTGAGTTTTATTTTGCTGTAGATCATCTAAGACGCCTGTTCTAGTTAAGGGTGGATCAGACGGTTCGACTGGTAAACACTCCGTGTTATTGACATCATTTGTTTTTCGCGCAGTTGATGTTTCCACGGGTTTCTCTGAAATCAAAGAAAAATATATAATATAATTATGAAGTCTTAGCTAGTCTTAGCGTTGATCACCAATCATTATCAGTTGTATAGTCAAGACAAACTCTTTTATATAATAATGTAGACAAGGATTACATTCTTACCTTGCTCTGGCGTTGTAGGTTTTGCAACATCCGTATCGCAGTCTGATGTTATGTCAATAACGTCTTCTTTGTTGGTTTTTTCTTCATCTGCGCGCTTGGATGTTGTTCTGATTGCGATAATTTTTCCACTATCTAATTGCATATATATTCCTTTCGCTGATTTTAACACCATAACTCTTTGGCCGGCCTTGAGTATTATATTCGATTTTTCCGATGAATTAGTAGGTATGACAACATCTGAAAAAGGAATTGAATTCGAGACATTTAACAATAAGATTAAATATAAAAAAATGTATTGTAATATAAGAACTTGAATGAATTGTCCTCATTCATGAACAAATTGTAATACTGGGTGTAAATGCCTCCCCTAAGCCCACAACACTCAATGGGCTAGCTTTTCATACTGGAGTCAGCAAAGTGGGTCTGATGATAGATAGAAAACTAGACTGAGTGATCTACAAAAAACACACAGCAGGTCTGAAGCGTCAAGAGTGGAGATTCGGTCCTCTTCTTCGCCATAATGGAAAATACTGCCTTACAGACGAAGAAAAAACTCACACCTTCGCCGTTCGTCACAGAACGGTTCACGCCATTCGGATTGGCCTCCCGGATGACCTAGATGAGTTTTCCACCCCAGGCACATAGCCATTGCCGCTTCGCTGCAAATGGTCAGTTTACAGTGGCGCCGACTTGGTAGGTTAGAAATTCTACCTCACAATGGCGACCATAGACAGCCAAGTACGTCGGAGCATTCGTCAGCCGGTACGACGAACGCTTGCAGTGACACTGCAACCGGGTAGCAAGAGACCTCGTTGGGAAGTGTGCGGTCAGGAGGCTTTAAAAGATCGTTCAAGGACTTCCTCCATCTACGACAGACGAAACGCCCCACACAACATGCAGTTAACATGTCAGTTCTGAAGTACTCTGAATTGTGAAATCTGTATATTCCGCCCACCACAATGCATAGAAAACTTATTTTTTGACAATATAATATGCTTTAAGACTTTACTTACCAAGGGGTAACGTCATTTCTTGAGCAGTCATTCCTTGTCTTTGCCACACTTCGGCAGGTATCCAACGGGTCGATCGACCTCCACTAACAGGGTTATTTTTTTTGGTCTGTATCGGTTTTATCTAAAAATGTAAAAAAAAAAAAAATAAAACAGACTGATTTAGTATTATTTTTAATTGAAGAAAGACGGCAATAGCCAAGCTGATCAAAAATGGTCGACATTATAGCATATCTTAGACTTCTTAATAAGTACGGCTTATTGAATTGAGGCTTTTCGAAACAGTTAAATATGCTGTGGTTATTTATTTCAATGTATTATAGCTATTTTCTTTATATGATCAATATTTTGATTGAATACTTACCGAAGCCACTGGTCGCGTGATAATAGTACCATCAGAGTTTAAAATTTTGTACTGCATTTTTCCTGAGGCGTATGCAAATTTTTGATTAACAGACGCTTTCTTTTCAAGTTCATAGCTTCTATGGGCCTGTCTTTTTTCAGCTTGTGATAGCTTCCTATCTTTTTGATCAACTAATAAGCTTTCATGCAGAAAAGGATCTCTTGTTATACAGTTCGCATGGAATTCAACAATTTTATTAACAATTGGATCCATATGACTCGTTGTTGGAAGAAATTTTTCATCTTTTTTTTTATCTGCCGTAGAAAGCTTATCGATATCATTATTTTGAGTAGTTGGTTCATTAGACTTCTGACCGTCACTGTCAATAGGATCACCATCTGAGCTGTAATCGTGACACAGATTTGTTATATCTCTCATAGACAAATGCGCCTCCGGATTGCACTCATCAACAATTCTATCAGACATTCCTTGCTTTTTAATTTGTCTGTCATATATTTTTTTTTCTAGGCATTTATCCATTACAATTCTGTACACATAACACGGCTTTGTTTGCCCATACCTGCAATACAAATTGTATTTATACTGTTTAATAATATATATAATATATAATAATATATATATAATATGATAATATGTTTATTGCCCATTCCAACTTGTGTGTATAAAAGTATACTTTTTTTCAACCGACTTATGTGATATTGGAGTCCGATGTTGATAGGATTTTTTTTTTCATTTCATTTTCATTATTTTTTCACGAATGTCCCTTTTTTTTCAATGTGATCCAAGGTCTGCTGCAAACAAATTACTTACCTATAAATTCTGTATACTGCTTGAGTGTCATGGCAAGGATTCCAACTGGCATCAAATATTATAACTCGATTGGCGCCAGTCAAGTTAATACCCAAGGATCCCGCTCTTGTAGAGATTAGGAACAGTTTAATATTACGATTTGCGTTAAATTCATTGACGAGCCTTTCTCTTTCTTGCGATGAAGTCGAGCCATCTAAGCCTTAAAATATAAAAAAATTAGGTAATGTTTTATTTGTTATTAATTTTAAGCTATATATAACTTAAAGATACATATTCTATATTCTTTGACAAGTAATTTTCTTGACCCGTTAAGCGTAATACCTAGAATCTCAAGGTAAATTCTGGACCTCTTTAAATTCTTACTAAATTAGCAAGCACAGCCGTGTTCAGCACTGGACTTAGTAGGCGTGAAAATAAAGTTGATCCCGAAACTCAATCCACCAAATCTTTGACACCCATTTTCACGGAGTAGGGATGGATTTTCCGCAAAATGTAAAAACATATTTAAAACGAATTGATCGTCAAAAAAAAAGTTCTATACAATGACCTTTCTCAAGTTTTCTAAGGTTTCGGGTGGAATTTTCCACATTAAATTACAATTTTAAATAATATACTTTGAACTTACTCTAATAAATAATAAAAAAATTGTGATGTAATACTTACGAAAATAAGAACTGTTTCGCATCCAAAAGTTTGTACTGCATGGTACATAACTTGATTTAAGGAACCCTTCAATTAGATTTAATGTCAACAGGCTTTGGCTGAATAACAATATTCGATCACCTTGAAATATGCTCTCTTTCATGATGCAGAAAAATATTTCCATTTTTGGTGAACTTGATATTTGACCAGATATGTAGTTTTTCATAATGTCCAGCGCCCAAGAGCATGAAAACTCTTCATTTCTTTTAGGCTTAATTGTTTTTCTATTTGTGTCATTTATTATATTGCCAATGCTCTGTTTACTTGAATTGTTATTTTCACTTGAATTTATTTTAGCTCCTTCAACATTTTGCTGTTGATTAAGTGGAGTTGGGTGAATATTCCTTTCAACTGTTTTTATTTCATTTGTATCAAGGTCGACTATTTCGGAGGAGCCAGTAATAGTTTCAAATTCTTTTGCCATGCTCGAATCAGTTTGTTTTATAACTTCAATATAACTCGGTTTAGACGGTATACTGGAATCCAACCAATAATTGCCTTTCCCTTCGGAGCTGTAAGTTCCAAAATTAAGTTGATCCTCTTTGTCCGTACAGTAATTGCCACAACTGAAAACCAGAATTATGTTAATAAGACTATTAAAACTTGGTTATGAATAAATTACCTTTTATTAGAGTAGATTTTATTTATATCCGAGCTTGAAGGTACACGGTCATAGGCTCCATTCTTAGTTTGTTGAGCGATTATTGGTTCAACTTTATCGGTTGCGCAAAAATTTGAATCGATGACTGGGCTTGTAGTGCTCTTAGTAGATTCTTCTATTTCAATTTCTAAATCTAAATCAGTCTCACATTTTTTAAGAAAGTTATATAAAACATCCGGATGATTCCAAATCTTACAACACACAGCAAATGCTTTTAATGGATTAGGAAATGCTTTTTTTCTCACCACATCGGTCATAAAGGTATCGTAAAGTTTCCGTTGAAATGGAGTCATTCGAACCAGAATAACATATTCTAATTTTGGTGGCAGAGTGCATTGTAACACAGTATGTGAGCGCCGTTGAACAAAACCCAAAAGTAGAGAATGAAGAACGTGAGCCCTGTATCTCATTAGCTTTATATCATCCGGTGTTGAGTCCACACATTGACCATTTTGTATAGGTCTCTCAAACATGTTACAAAACTCTGTTCTTGTTCCCAAATAATTAGGTCGTACAAAATCCACCATACACCAGTATTCCAACAAGTTGTTTTGCAAGGGATATCCGGTTAAAACTATACGTCGACGAGTTCGTATTTGCTTTAAGGCAAGGGATATACCAGCATGGGAATTTTTTATTCGGTGGCCTTCATCGCAAATTACTAAATCCGGTCCAGGTTTTACCAAAGCTTCATACACCAAATTCATTAGATCTTTGCTAGAATCGTGCATATCATTTATTTGCGAGTTTTTGTTGCCTCTTTTCTTACGTGTAGAAACTAGTTTTAATGCCAATAATCGGAATAATTCATATCCGATCAAAAGTACCCCCCCTTTGTGCACCCAATTTAAAATAACCTTTGCTCGAGCAGTAAGGTTCTTTTGTTGATCGTTTAGTACAAAAATGTCAAAATTTCGGGGACGCACGTTTAAATCTGCAGATTGGCGAGGAATCCACATGTTAAATTCACTTAACCAATTTTGTAATGTATTAATTGGCATTACGCATAAAACCGTCTTTGCGGATGTGTGCCTTAAAAATATATCACAGAAGGAAACAACTTGTAGAGTTTTGCCTAGTCCCATTGAATGCGCAAGTATACATCCAAATCCGCTCGATTTTTTAAATCTTCGTGTAGATTCAATTATATTGTCATATAAAAATCGTACTCCGCCAATTTGATGGGGTTTTATAACTTTAGCTATCTGAGGAGCTAAATACAATGTTTCTTCTCCTTCAGGATGCGCAATATTTACAACTACACGGCCATTTTCATCAGGAATATTATACAGATCTTTGACATGCATGCCACTGTTTGTTGCATCGTCACTTTCAATCAAATCATCCTCTTCTTCCGACAGTAATATACAATCGTCATCTGAACTATCGTCAATTGTAACTACTTCATTTGAGGGTTCGGTACAAGTTTCTTTATCTAGTACATCCTCAATACTGCAACTTAAACTACTATTTGATTCATCACAAGTTACTGAAGCCAAGTCATCGTCGGGTAGGCCAACACTATTACTAGTATTCATAAAAGGGGGGGTTGGTTGGGAGCCACAGTTAACTTGATTTGAGTCCTCAAAATTTAAAATGCGAAAAATATTTTTGTGAACTTCTTGTTTTCTTATTTCACGCATTGATTTTTGCTGTCCGGCAACTCGAGCTAAACGTTCGGACTCCTCTCTTTGAGCCGCTAGAGTTGTTGTATCTAAATTGTTTTCATTCATCACATCTCTTATATTTCTCCTGAGATAATTCGTTTTTTTTTCTTCGGCTGTTGTCATCAAGCCTTTTTTATTGCTTGTACTTTCATCCTTCGATACCGCATTTTTACGTTTATGTCCATGGGGTGAAACAACTGAAGTTTGTTTCAAATCATTTGATGCTGATGCAGTGACACATTCATCATTAATGTTAGAGTTTAATACTGTGGACATTTCACTAATTCTCTCCCTAGGATCGAAAGCTTGTTTGGTTGAAGTCACATCTGAATCACTTAACAACATTATAGGTGATTCATAATTAATAGCATTTGAGCTCGAACATGCATTCTGTATTTCTTCATTTTTAATTATTGTTGGAACCGGAACCATTGGCTGATTTTCATCCTCCATATTATGGTTTTTCTTTTATCTAGATATTAAAAATAAAGTAAATAAGTTTCATTAGAATAATTCAATTATTAAAATATAAATGTACACATATTTGGTTGTAGTCGCAGTAAAACTAGCCCAGCAAGTAAAACAAAGTAAAAATTGACTTTCTCGAAACTTATCTTTAAATTTTTATTATTATATTAGTCATAAACAAATGTATTCGCTCAAAGAATTTCCCAGAGATCACCAGGAGAAGGTCGTTTTCAGAAGGCTTGGTTTTTTGTTCATGGTTTGACCTCTAGATTAGTTTATCTGGCAATATTATTCATGCAACTTTGCAGAAGTCCCACTTTCTGTTGCACGCAGTTCATATGTCGAAACCAGCTGGATCGGACGACCATAGGAACGATTCGTTGAAAAATAGGTTCTTGTATAAACAACTTTTTTGCTTATCGAGATATCTTGACCAAACTCGCCATTTAAAGGTTTCACTATGTGGCCCACATTTATGCAAAATAGTTTTTACAGGGGACTACTATATCATGTAACTTGCATAGGAACAATCGCTCGAAAATAAAGTTATATGACCAACTTTTTGTTTTGCAAGATATCTTAACCATACTCGACATTAACTATTTTTCCGTGCTGCTCAGCTGCGGGCAAAGCACTATTAGCATTATGTAAAGGTTGGGTCTGCAAGGGTATCAAATCTTCGGCGTGCCGAAGATGTGCATTCGTTCTCCTTTTCTTTTTTAATTTTACTTCAATTGTCAACACAGGTTCTAGTGCAGTATAATTTCGACTTCTATCTCCATAGAGGTTCACCTTATACAGGTTTTATAACAAATTCGTTTTATCATGAAAATTGATTTCATATGGTAGAATCGTTTTGTTGCCATGTCTGTTTGATGATTAATTAGGCACAACGCTTTCTGAGTACCTTCTCCGTATTTTTGGTGAAAAAATGTAGTGTTAGAAATCGCGATAGGATTATACCTCTTGCACGTCTGCAATTACCAACTAGACTTGGGCATGCAATGCAGAGGAGAGTGAAGGTTCATTTTATTACATTTTATTTTAGTAAAATTCACACTGTACATTAACTGTCACTGCGAATATTGAATATTTACGCTATTAAACGAGACGGGCGTGGTTAAAATCTGAAAACCTTATATATATTTAATCTTTTATCCCTAGCTGTAATATTATCAACAAAATTGTGTTCCCAAGGGTGCGCATAACTTGAAAGTTAATAATCATTAAAACTAATGCACTACATCTGTATTTTATTGACATGTTAATATGTTCGTGTGTGTGTTTATTTTTATGATTTGTCTGCATCGAATATTAACGTTAATTACTACTTACACAAATTCCGATTAATGGAGTATTCTGTATTTTTTTTAACGCACTTTTTAGATACTCCCGAACATATTTTTGACTTGATTAATGTTTCTTTATTTTAATACACATATGCTACTACAACATTTTATACAACAAATATTTATAGCCGGCGAGTCAGTGTAAAATTTAACTTTCAGAGTACACCTGCATTTGTAGGCATACAAATAACTTTAAGGTTGCATATACTTTTTTCGTTGTAATATTGATACACACATATGGCCATACGCGTAAGCACAATCACTGTTCACGCATTCAAATTATTGTGTTATAATTTAAGATTTTTAAGTAAATCTGCCTTTTCACTTTAAAAATATGTATATCTACAGGATTCCAAAAAGTTACATATACATATGTACATACAAACAAAGATTAGAAAACTATCGATATATCGGATGTGAGTATTTTATAGTTAAGAAACAGAGTTTCCATATTCACTGGAATTTTATGAATAAACTATTTTCGGTCGTTCCGCCCAGCTTGCGCGAGCTTCTTACGCTACACTTATCGACTGAGCCAGCAGCGTTTTAAGACAACAACGGCAGTGCAAAAATCATAGATCTTAGTTTTTAATTATAATTAATTGATAACGACCCGGATTAAATGTTGCTTGATTACAATTAATTATAATATAATATATAGCCATTCAAATCAATTACTACTCTAAACTCCGCTGCAGCTTTTCGTGTAGCCAAGTATTACTAAGTGGAGGATACTGTTTGTAAATTAAATACACAATAGTTTATGAGGTTATGTTTAGTGATGTCTGCGAAAAATGATCGAAATGTATAATATTTAATTAAATATTTAAAAATATGAATATAAAGAGCAAAAACAAAAAAAATATTTTGCTATATGTGCCTGCTTAAGATTTACGTTTGTTAATGATAAATTGTGAATCTAGGACGTCTTACGGTGGCCACGACTACACTAAACATTAGGACTACGCTAAACTTGACGACAGTGTGAAAGCTTAGACAGCGTCGCAGCGCAATTTTATCCTGTGCCGAGAACTGGTCGCACTGCACGAAATGTACAATACCAATAACTCAGACTTTTGATAGTCCAGACCATTTTTTGAATGGCTTGCGCCATCACCAGATCATCGTTACATTTAGGGGGTGCTGTTCTTGTCTCGTGAAATACGGTCTTGTACTTGGATGCTATCAGCGTTCGACTTACTTTACGTCATAAGTCCAAACTATGTGCCCCAGCAGAATGAATTGCTGTGCTCAATGGCCCTCCATCGAACCGTAGTCCCTGGCGTAGTGCCTATTAACAGTCAAAGCGGCAATCTTAGCACCCAGCATTCCACACCGTTCGTTGCAGCCTGTAGGAACTCGTACAAAGCCAGGAAGGCGGTATCATCTACTTACGTTGGCACCAGCAGCCTCACAGAGCTGCTTTGCCCTTGAAGTTATCAAGCCTGAGCATTAAGTTAAAAATGATCGAAAGCACCTTTTCGTGGGAGTACCATAGCTGCTCTGTCAGCCCGGTAGACGTCAAAATTAGGACGCAACGGGAGCATTTTCCGGATGCCAACGACCCACAGGAGTCTTCTCTACCTCAAACAATAGTGGAAGGTGATCCGAGCTCAGGACCAGAAGGCTTCTTCTTCGCTGCTACCCCTTGGATTGCATGTTGTCTCTCCAGTGACAATGGCTTCGATGCCGTAAAGTTGGCTCTGTCGGATCCGAATCGGATAGCAGCGACTTGCATAAGCCAGTGGCAGGACAACTCAAGCGGATCGTATGACAACGGCGACCTGATCAAAACTGCCGCTCCTTCAATTAGTGGTTGGCGGTGTTAAGAGTATGTTACTCTTGGGGAGACACGGGAGCAGCAGTGAGTCTCCGTAAGAAGAAACACATTGATCTGATGGAGCGCGATGAAGGCAGAGATCTCATTCGCCTCCGTTGTCATTCTGTCAAATCTGGCGATCAGTTGCTTAAACTGACTGACTGACAAACGGACTGAGTTGGGACTGTTGTCAGCAACTGAATACCAAGCAGAACGCTGGCAAAGGATTGCTGACCGGGAACGAAGCAGTGGGCCGGGGACGCTGCTTGGGAGTGATTTCTGAGGAGAAATACTGGGCGAGAGAACACCACCTTTCTTTTATTTTCGGGGCTCCTTTTTTAGCTTGAACATGGCCTCTTTCCAGCTGGCTTTAGGCTTAGGTGGGTATTTGCTGAGAAGGGCATGGACCAATATTAAAGCCAAAGCCTTAAAGCAAATTTTAAATTTGTGCTTCTTAACATGTTTTTAAATATAAATCTAACTATGATGTAGAATATTCGTATATTCTCAAAAAGACAATATATATATCCGTATTTAGTGTTTCAAGTTCTTATAATTTACGACTCATTGGCGCAAAAAACAGGATTTCAAAATCGATTTTCAGCAATTACTTGGAAACGGGGCAAGCTATCGATTATCGGAAACAATCTCGTGCTGCGCATGAACTAGGAGAACCTACATTTAAAATTTCAAGTCGCTACCTCATTGGTTCCGAGGACCTAGCATTCATACTTGGGGGCAGGCGAACTTGCTTAGATCTATTGATGCTGACCTTAAATATATATACTTAATGGGGTCTGAGAAGCTTCCATTATATCCGTTCTACTCATACTCTAGTCCCCAACCTTTACATGTAACATCTAGAACAGTATATATATTTATCTTTCATTAGTTGGTTTGGCTGTTAAGTAGAGCCGGCGAAAAGTACCGTGAGAGGTAACTAATTTTTATTTATATTTTTTATTTTTATTACTGCTAAAGCAATCGAGCTCGTAGTGCAGGCTAGTCGGAAGCTCCAACTACAGCCTCTTATTTGTTCTTAGTAACCAACAAAATGTGTATGTTGTTTGGTTAGTGGTAATACGAATGAGATAGGCTTCCTTACAAAAACACTGCTATTTGATTAATGTAGAAATTTTACGTATCTGGCGTCGGCACGAGTATTAAACGTTCAGCGCCCCGCAGAAAACTATTTATTTTGACTATTGATTTAAAGATATACATTTGTTAATGTTTATATAAAAATTAAAAATAAAAATTATAGTTTAGTTTTATGACAAGCCCCGAATAACTGTTCTTGTTTCATTTAATAGAAAAACCATAGATAATTATTCAAGTTAATTTTTTCTCATGACCGTTACGGTCTGCGAGATTAAACCCTACCCACTGTTTTTAATTGTGTAACAATACATAAATATACATAAATTTACACAAATCTAATATTTATTTGTAGGCAAATGCATAAAGTTGGTCTGAAATAAATCAAACCTCTTATAATTATGTTTGTCCATGATATTCTTATAAAGTATCAAAAGAAACAAAAATTTTTACTATAATAACTTAGGAAACACAAAATTTGTTCTTTGGGGTCTTTATATTTATATAATCCTAAGGGCTACGGGTCTTTTATACAGCTCAAGAAAAAGTAATCGAATTATAAAAAAAAAATATATATATAAAAATAATTATATACAATTACACGGCCACTAATTAATAAGTGAATCAACTTTCTGATGTAGTTTAATGCGATATAGCCGAAACAGGACACCCAAAATACCCAGATATACTTGAACACACATTCCATGATAAACCCACAAAATGGGGTTCATTTAATTTTGGAGTCACCATCATAAAATTCATATTTTTGATATATTTGTACCCACATAACAAATTTGTCTTTAGCATTTTAATTCTTTGCAAATTTTAAGGCTGAAATCATTTATTGATTTATGCTTTATACTACCAATTGCAACCCAGATTTCATATGCCCCACTCATATAGTCTTTAAAATTGGCGCGTTTATACAAATGGAACTGCGCACAGACCAACGGACACGGCCAGATTGATCCGACTATTCGTCATATATATACTCCTGTTACAATCATTTGCACAATTGCACTAAGTATAAGAAAAACTTACCCGTCGTTAAACTACATTAGAAAAGTATGGTGGCATTTGATTTTTGCGCTCGTCGAGTCCAACAAAAATATTTTTAGCAGACAGAACTTTACTTTTACATGCTAATCAATAATTCTTTTCATTATGATGTTCCTACAGAGAATAGCAAGTAAGCTTAATGGTGTTAACGTATTCTAAATAAACTGAGAAAATACTCGGATTCCCAGCTCTAAAATGTTTAAAAATATCTTTTTCGCACATACTTAAAACTTTTACTTTGCATTGATATGTAATAAATGTCTACTGACAGAAAAAATGTAACAACCAAATCTTACTTTCATACACTCCACCACCATAGAAACACTAAAAAGCCCCAGTAAAACAATTATTTTTTCACCTCTTAGTTATTTTAAGAGTTATATAGTGAGCATATATAACTAGTAAAATAAAAAACAAATATACACTTTATAATTGTTTTCGAACCATTTCTGACAACAATGCTGAATCGTTGCTGGACATGACAGCTCCAGTTCCATCTTTATTTCTATATGATGAATTCTGGGCACGTTGAATTGTTCTATCCTCGTAACGCGTTCTTCCCTGAGATGCCATTGGTCTGTTTAGCGTATTGTTTGCATTATTTGGTGAGCTTGGTGGGGTGCTGTGAGCTGCAAAGTGTTTATTGACAAAATCCTGCTCCTTCCATCCATTTTTCTTATATACTTCACGCAGTTCGTGGTGCTGCCACATTGTGTACAAAACTTGACTAGCAAACTTTATAACACACGTAGTATATTGTTCTTTACGTCTTGTTATATTCATTAGTCTATCTACACCACCTGCATCTAAAAGAGAACGCGCGAACTCTGGATTTTTTTTAATGACTTCATTAATGGTTGCCAATACTGCTGTGATGGTATCATCTGATGTATTTTGGTCGTGTTGAGCATTCCCAGACGGAAGTTTTTGAACCAAATCGCGCATAGCATACTTGCCGATCAATTCTTTATTTCGTTGGTCAATAGCAAGGTTGCGCAGTGCTGTGGCAACAGCGCAAACGACACGATCAACTTCCATTCGTAAAAGTTCTACAAGTATCGGAAGCCCTTTTTCTTTGCGCACAGTAGCTCGAATATCAATGCTTGGTTGCCAGTAACAAGCTGACAAATTTTGAATTGCTCCAGCAGCGGCCTCAAGAGTTTCTGGGTTTGAACAACTTTGCAGTAAGGAAAGATAAAATTGCACCACTTCAGGTTGCCACAACTGCTCATATCCTTTGTTTGTTTTATTCGTTGTTCCTGAATTCTTTGAATATTCCGTGGAAAATATGTAGTCCTGTTGCGACTCATTTAATGCCAAATCCTTCTTTTTTTTACTTGTCCCAAAGCATCCCAAATTTTCACCTGTATATAAATAATAACAACTTAATATAAATTTAGTAAAAAACTACTTGTGTTACCTTTTGAAGATGACGGAACAGCCCTTTCTTGAATAATAAAAGGATGCTTATCATAATTTGGATCTTCGACTTCTTGGCATCTATACGAGAGATTGCGAAGAATGCAGACACAGTTTTCTACTGTTTTATTTCCTATGTTGTTTTTTTCAATGGAAGATCGAACAACGTAGAGAAGAGATTCAACCAAGTGCTCACAATTACGAAGGCATTCTCGTGCGTGCTCTCCAGCAGAACTGACATTTCGCAAAACACCAGACGCATTTCGAAATACTGTCGAAAAGCATGTTTCCCCGCAACAGATAGGATCCCAGCCCGAGTGGGGTTTAATAACGTTACATACTATAGCAGCCAGCGCCTCATCAATAATTGACCGTTTAATGTCTTCACAGGAAGACATATTCCATAAAACTCCAGTTACCAACTCTTTTACCTCAGTTTCTTGAGACCGGCAAAGAAGGTGTACCAAAGCTTCTATTCCTCCGGCATTTTTTATTGCTCGTTTATTTTCATCATTCTGTCTACCATATGATAAATTACGTAATGCCCCACAAGCATTTCTATAAAAAAAAAAAAAAAAAACAAAAATTATAATTAGTATACGAGGTTTTGTAGTGCATTTATTAAATGTTTAATACATAAGAAAGGAATGATGACAACCTTCTCTTTATACGACAAACGAGGTTTTCATCAAATTAATTTTTTGTTTTCTTATCAGTCCAGAAGCTACAAGCTTTAACAAATATAACTTTGTAGGACCAGATTTATGTTTAGACTCTAGTTACCAGTACAAAACACAAGTGTGCGTTGAATGATCAAAATATTATGGGGCAAATCAATTTAAATTGGACAGTCGTGCTTTTTCGGCATTGAATTTTGCTATTAAGCGTATGTGCACAAGGATTTAAGATATACATTTGTGATTGTAATGTAATATACTTACCTCCGGATATAACATAAAATTCATTTGGGTTTGGGCACTTACTTATGAATATCTGGCGCATCATATGATAATAATCGAATTAATGGTGGTATTCCTCCCAGAGTTCTTGTACGCTGCTTATTTGGATCATCCATATAACATAAATGTTGAAGGTATGCAGCAGCATTCGCTTTTATAGCATTATTAGGATTACTTAGAAAGCTTATTACTTCTGAAAGGTTTGGGTCACGCCATCTCATTGTTGAACAAAGATCACTGTCCGATCCACCAATGAAATCCTCTTTCTCTGCGACTCTGGGTGGAACAGTGTTAAGTGAATTTGTGGCAAATGGTACTAATTTGAAATCGCCTTGACTCTCAAAAGATCTACATTGAGAATCTATAGCTGATTCAGATCCATTAAGGTTATTGTCGAATGGTCTCGAAGCAAATTGCTTGATATTTGCACTTACACCGGGCAATCCATAATTGGCATCTGAAGTATAACCATATGGCATAGATGGTTCGTCTGTATAATGAGGTTCTAGCCCACACGGTGGTAAGACAGGTATACCAAAATCACCTGCTTCATCAAACTGTGGTGTTTGTATGTATCTTACGGTTGGAACTAATGTATGGCCTTCCATACCGGGCATAGCCACTTCTTGTGGAGCTGTTTCTATTTTACTTTGAGATCCAATTGCAGAGCAATGAGGAGCTATACGCGTGATAGCTCCAATACCAGTTGGCTTTGAAATATATAATGGTGCATTTGTATATCCGGCAGCGGTGTATTGCTCAAAGTTTTGAAAAGCAGAATATTGGGCCTGTATATGACCCGCTTCCGTTACCAATGACTGCTCCAAATTTGAATTTTGTTGAGGATTCATTTTAACAGCAGTCTAAAATCTGAAACGAAAGTAAACAATTGTTTTGTTGTATATAATGCACAACCTTCCTTTGTTTTAGCTATACAATATGTATATATGTATATGCAAGTATATTTTTATAAAACTTTTTTTTATAGGTAAAGGGATCCCAAATATTTTCCTCTGCTGGTTTCGAAATTGGCATTTACTTTCCAATAAAGCTAATAAAGCTTTATATACTTCTCTGAATCTAATCGGTATACTCCCATGATATAATCGGTACACTCCCAGACTAGATGCTCTGCACTCACCTGCAAGTGCATGAGTACATGCATTCTTACGTAGCCACATAAATACCAAAATACATACATATATGCCAAAACAAATACCAAAATACATACATATGTATGTACATAGTAGATGCAATGTCTAAGCCGAAATGGCGCAGCTTGTAGTTTAATAGGTTTCTGTAAATAGTGTGAAGGATATTTTCTAATAATGATCTCGAAATCCCTATCTTTTTATTCCATGCCTATATTATAAGCTTTTGTTCTTTGTTGATCGCGCTGAATTTACGAGCACAAAAAATTGCAATTACATATAAACATATTAAGCCCAGAGTTGATGCCAATAAATTTACTTGTAATAAGATTTACTTGACTTTTTGTATGGAAAGCTAACTATGAAAACTTGTATATAATGGCAAAGGTGTGTATGTATGCATGTTGGTTATTTTTCCTGCACTTAACATACATGCATACATTATTTTAAAAGGGCACGCCCCTTTCAGTTGCATGTAAATATGTATTCGCATTGAGTCTACATTTTATTGCACAGATTAAACAACAGTTATCGCGTTAAATAAACAAACTTTACCAATCAAAGCTATTATATATTTGCAAAAGTGTTTATATTTTTTGTCGCAGCAGATTTAATGAAGCGGGGCTTTAAAGAGGCATACGGACAAATATTTATGTGTACATACTAAAAATATTGATTTTTCGCAGAAATCACTAGTTCACTTTATAAAAATGCATTTACACAAATATACATCGACAATTTACCTGTTTTATTACTTCCAACGGAATTTCGTTCACAAATCTTTCTAGCAATACATTTTACATGTATAATATCTGTGGCACAACATTATGCCCTTTTTTTTTAATGATAAGTATTTGAACATTCGAATGTGCCTTCTGAACACTTTACATTCGCTTCAGATACATTTATTTGTGCATTTAGTTTGAGATTTATGATAATATTTTACTTACCTTAAAAATACCAGAAAGATATGATAACATTCATATTAACTTAAATAGACGTGAGGTATTTTCGACCAAAAGACTCCACGAACAGCACTACAGATATATTATTCTTTTGCCTGCTAATTCAAACTTGGAGTTGAGCTATTTACTCCGATTGTGTTTCAACTTACCAGTTCTTTTCAAATAGAACTAGCGCCGTTATCGGATTTATGGACATGGAACACGCAAGGCAGTTGAGCTACTGATGACTACATATTTTACGCTTATTGGGTTAGTTGGTATCTTATATACGATATTAAAGTTTCTTAACTTTTCGTAAAGTTCGGTTGCCAGATTTAAATGCAAATTGATCTAGTGGTGAAACCATGAGCACGGTGCCAAACTTCGTGCAAATCGGATAAGATTTGACCGAGCTATGAGATGTGCATTTTTTACCTATATCCATTAAGGATATTTGAGGGTACCATTTTCACATGAATTTTGACCAAAAATAGTGTTGCCAGATATTGATGGCAAATTGATTTAGAGGTCAAACCATGAACAAAAAGCCAAACCTCATGAAAATCAGTTGAGTTTTGGCCGAGTTATGTGTGTGAAAAATTTTGATCTGTGTCTATATAGGATATTTGAGGGTACCATTTTCCCATGAATTTTGACCAAAAATAGTGTTGCCAGATATTGATGGCAAATTGATTTAGAGGTCAAACCATGAACAAAAAGCCAAACCTCATGAAAATCAGTTGAGTTTTGATCGAGTTATGTGTGTGGAAAATTTTGATCTATGTCTATATAGGATATTTGAGGGTACCATTTTCACATGAATTTTGACCAAAAATAGTGTTGCCAGATATTGATGGCAAATTGATCTAGAGGTCAAACCAATAACAAAAAGCCAAACTTCATGAAAATCAGTTGAGTTTTGGACGAGTTATGTGGGTAGAATATTTTTATCTGTGTCTATATGGGATATTTGAGGGTACCATTTTCACATGAATTTTGACCAAAAATAGTGTTGCCAGATATTGATGGCAAATTGATCTAGAGGTCAAACCATGAACAAAAAGCTAAACCTCATGAAAATCAGTTGAGTTATCGTTGCCCGTTTAACGAAACACACTAACTAGAGATGCAGTATGGACGCACGCTAGGAACGTAATGCTTCAACTGCATACCAACACTGCCATCACTACCGGGCATATATGTCTTTCAATATCGTTCCATTTCCACCATTTCGGTTACACTTACAATATACAATTCACCCATCTTTGATTAGTCCAGCAACTCATGCAGTAATCGATACATTGGAACCACCACCCAAATTGATTAGTCCGGTTTTTCGTTGTGGTCGGAAGGCTAAGAAGTATTTCTGTTTAAACTTAAATATATACATTGCAATTGGTTTATAAATTTTGTAAAAGTATTCGCATATTGCAGAAAACATGGTAAGGGCCTTAAGAGCTAGGTTTAAGATGAAATTTTATAATAAATATTGTTGAGTACATACATATGAGTAGGTACGTTCATATCTTAGCACATCGTACAGCAAATACGATGATTCATGAATATTCGCGATGGTGGCATACACCAAAAATATAATTATTTGATATGAAGTTATTTTTATAAATCTAGAAAAGTTACCCTAAATATGTATATAACAATGCGTTATAAGTATATAAGCTGGTTAAACACATTCATATCTACACATATATGTATATATAATTATATATATATATAGACTCAATCCAAATATGTATACTTACGAATGTGTATATGCATGCAGACATGCTTGTATATTTATGGATACATCGGTATACATACACATGCATTACATACAAAGACATTAGTCAGAGTATGCTGAGTAATATGCGGAATATTAATCGGAGGCATCACTATTTTCGGTTATTTGTACATTTATGTATATTTACACATATATACAAATGTATGGAAATTTATATATGCATATATATACATATATATATTTTTTTATAGTATTTTAGTATACACAATTTTCAATGTGCATGTCCATGCGGAAATGTGTGGGCATGCCGGTTAATGATTTTCACAAACTTGCTTTTTGCATTTACTATTTGATTTTTTTATGTACATAATTATGTATGTATATATGTAAAAATCTTAATTTCCTTTTGACCTTTCATATATTCAATATTGAGGAAATATTAACGAATATCAACTGGTAATTCACATGCTAAAATTTTGCAATCATTTTTAACCAAGTGTTTATTTTTTTAGTATTTTTCTAAGTTTAATTCAAAATATTCATATGGATATGAATATCTAGGGAATTGTTAGTTATTCCCTGTACATCATAAACTAGTTTTTCAGTAAACGGATGAATATTGGATCCGGTTAAATCATATTTATTTGTCATATGTACATATATGTATAATATAGCAGGCCATCGATTGAAATTTTATTGGGCTTTCTACTTTTTCTATCTTGTACGTGTTATCAATCGTTAGGTAATATTATTCGCAAATGTACAAAAAAAAAGGCAAGAAGTCTGCAACCCCAAAAGGCCTTTACCTATACATATATATAAATATATACATGTGTACATAAAGTGGTTCGAAATTTGCCTTTGATGGACAGTTAATCTGCACAGAAAAATAACGGTGCATTTACTTTGTCAAAAAAAGGCGAATATCAGAAAGTTGTGTATTCGATGTTGAACTTTTATTAAATAAATGAAAATATACAAACATAAGTATTTTTATTCTTTATTAGCATTGAATACATACATTTACTATTCTAGCATATCTGCTAAACTTAGCCTTAGCCTTTTGTCTTAGCCAAAATTACATTTTTAGAACTTTATACTTTAGCAAATAATAATCTTAATAAATATATGGATTAATGGATCAGCTATTAAAAATACAATAGTTTTGTGTAACGATATAAAAATCTTGTATTTTCAATATGAAGCCCAGAAAAAGAACTTAAACTTCTGTAGGCTTTTCTTAATTACTGAGCTTTAATACATCTCCAAGTGTATGTAGCTTTTAAAATTTCAGTGATAAGTTTTGCTTCTTGCCTTATTCTTGTCAATTCTTATAATCGACAGGCTTCTGGAGTAACTGTGTCGGATGTATGCAAAACAACATACGAGGAAATAAAGAAGGATAAAAAGCACCGTTATGTTATTTTCTACATTCGCGATGAAAAACAGATCGACGTTGAAACTGTTGGAGATCGGAATAGCGAATACGACCAGTTTCTAGAAGATATTCAGAAGTGTGGTCCAGGAGAATGCCGGTAAGTTAAATGTTAAAATTGCACAAATGGATTTTTGACATATTTGGATAAGCACTCAAGTAAATACAATTCCAATTATAAGAATCTATAAATACATGTGCGTGCAAACATAAACATAAGGAAAAATAGTTTGGTGCAATCGGTGCTTCTCTCTTAAATATACTTTCTAAATATACCCATTCACATATTCCTACTACACGCGCAGCCTAGCATTGTTTCAAAGCATCGATTGTTTGGCTCATTTCTGCTGGTGTTATTGGGTGGGGAAGGGTCGTGGGATCTTCTGTTCGAGTACTACTCCGCGTGGGGATCGGGGAATCTCCTAGAATCTATTTTAAACGCGAAGAACAAGTAAAGTATGGGTTCTTCTGGAATATGATGGACACCCTGATCCAGGTTTAATTGTAGGGCAAATAACAAAAAGAATTTTCGGGTGAGATTTAATTCTGTCTGATGTGTCCTATCTAATGCAATGTTCACAGTTATAAATCGAAGCAAAATTGAGTTCACAATTATAGGGTTGGCAAGATTCTATGACGGAGCCCTGATTTTTAAACGAGGATTAGGAAATAAAGAATTTGCAATTTGCTGTGGCTGGGATATGGATTTGCCCGGTATACCCGTCCATTGTGGGCCATTTTTTTATATGTATTTGATAACATTTTTGTTTTTATATTTCAGATATGGTCTCTTTGATTTTGAATATATGCACCAATGCCAAGGCACGTCAGAGAGCTCAAAGAAACAAAAGTTGTTCCTTATGTCATGGTGTCCTGATACTGCAAAGGTATTTTTTATTGTTTGACTTTAAAAAACTAACTAATATGTTATATACTTTAGGTTAAGAAGAAGATGTTGTACTCTAGCTCTTTTGATGCATTAAAAAAATCTTTGGTGGGGGTCCAAAAGTATATACAAGCTACTGATTTGTCAGAAGCATCTCGTGAGGCTGTAGAGGAAAAGCTTCGTGCTACTGATCGCCAGTAGGCTGCAATGACAAACGTCTCTGTGCAATGCATTTAAATAATTGCATGAATCAGTGATTATATTTGTATCCGGTCAAGATCCCCAATTTGTATGAGAATTTTCTACATAATTTGTATTTTCAGTATAAATAAAGAAAATTATAATGAAAACTATTTGTATCATTTAATTTACATTGTAAATAGGAAACATTTGTAAAACGAAATTATTGTGTCTTTCCAATAAAGAATAAAATAAGTAGGAGGCTCTAGTCGGAATTTCCTGAGCCCTTTTTTACCAACACCAAATACAGCTTCGAGCTCCATTATATAAGTGGTAATTAAAAAAGAATATTTCCTCAACTGGACTCGAACACACTTAAAAATGTTCACTTGTTTTTTAAATTTGAAAATGATATAACAAACTTTATTTTTGTTTTGCAGCTGAGTAACTTAACTGTTAGACGAGGAATATATAACTAATCTGTGGCTTCTCATTTTGTTTATAACGAAGTCTTTGTTATGTAAACATTTTGGCTCGAAAACAACACGTCGTTAACCCAAGGAAGGTATTCTGTCGATTGAGGGCAGCCAACATAATTCTGATGTGGGTGTACCTTCGGCGCGGAATAAGCAGGTAGGGAGAACGGACCGATCCGGTAAAAGGTGCATTATCCTGTAGAGTTGCAATGCGCCAATTAAAAGAGAACCTACTGAGTCGAAGAAAGAGGCAACCTTAAAAACGACGAGGAATATATTCCATGGAAACTTTGTGTAGCCAGGGGCCAACGACATGGTTGCTGGAATAGCAATATGGATCCACTGATGGAAAACAAGCCGTGAGGAGAATCGTAATAAGACAAGTCTACAGCTACTACTGGCCCGGCATGTTGCGCGACGCCGCCAAGTTTGTGAAATGCTCCGAGGTCTACCTAGTCGTATGTTGACGAGACAGGTGTCGAAACTTATGGCAGTATTTTGTAAGCGTTCCTTCAGTTTATCTCTTATCATCGACGATTAAGGATAATAAAGACATGAATAATGTTAAGGCTCAGCTATTAAGAGCATATTCAATTAGTGAAGGCTTGAAGTTTGCTTCAAGTATGGAACAAAATTTTCTCGTTCATGATCTTAACATGGAGAGTACATTAAAATTGCAACGTTTTCTTCAGTTTTGTGAAGCTGTATATCAAAAACTACACATGCAACTTAGAAAAATTAAAAAAAGAGCAGCTAAACAGAAAATAATAATTGAAAATAAGACAAAGCCAAAACAACTTTTCATGACAAACAAAATTCTTCATTTTAATCAATAATTGGTAGAGTCCGTAATAAACGTGCACGCTTAATGTCTAGTAACTATGCATAGTTGCGAAAATAATTCTATTTCTAATTTCAATGTAAATTTAGATAGAATGAAACTTAACAAAACGTTTTTACCATTATTTTTTTTTAAAGCAAGGTTTAATTAATATTTTTATCATTATCATTTAATATAAATAGTATGTATAACAAAAAAAAAACGTGTAGAGTTTTAAGATTAACGATAAACGATTTTTATAAGTTGTAGCAAATATTCCCTATTATTTAACATATTGTATGTATTTTTTTACCCAATCATTTTTGCACGTATTTCTAATGAAAGTAGCTGGTGTGAAAAAATAGATTTGCAATTAGAAACATTCGATCGATATATGATAAGATTCAGATCTTTCTGACTCCGTCATAAGTCAGCTGTAGCAGTAAAAATGGTTAATTATGATCGGAATGGTGAAATCGAACAAATATTTTAGATGCGTGCTGCGACGATATCTTGACATACATATGTCTCCAAAGCAACTCTGTGTGTTGCCATGTTTGACAACCGGAAGATCACAGAGATATATCCCTTTCCTTTTTGCTACTGGCCTCTGAAGTACAAGTTGAATTATTCAATTTGTTGACAAAAAGTTCAATGTAAGTAAATTAAGCGTATATAGATTTGATGAATATTAATGTAAGTAATATTTTTTAGATGCCGCGTGAAATCAAAGAAGTTAAGGATTTTTTGAACAAGGCTCGCCGCACCGATGCCCGTGCTGTCAAAATAAAGAAGAACCCTACAAATACCAAGTTCAAGATTCGTTGCTCACGTTTTCTTTACACACTTGTGGTACAAGACAAAGAGAAGGCAGATAAAATCAAGCAATCGTTACCACCAGGCTTGCAAGTGAAGGAAGTTAAATAAATCTGCTCTATGTGACGTGTGTTGATGTACTTGATTTCTTGGGCACTATCTTTCAATATGTTCGTTATGGAATAAAACAAATGGACATAATTGCGGTGTAAAATTTAGTTCTTATTTTTATCGGCTTGCATATAAACATTGTTGGCTCTGTGATCGTAAAACATTATTCATTCAGGAATACGGATCTACGTGGATATTGCATATCATGAAAAATGAGCAGACCCAAATCCATGCGTTCTTAAAAATAATGTGAGTTTATATGTGACTAGCGGGTATAAGCCGGCATTGCCCGTGGTACGTATAAAATAAACACCCAAACTTGTGGAAATCGGATGAGACTTGACCGAGCTATGGGAGAGGGCATTTCGGCATATATAGGATATTTAAGGATACCATTTTACGTGGGTCTTGACCAAAACTAACGATCAATGAAATCATGGGAAAGAGCCAAACCTCGAGGTAATTCGGATAAGATTTGACCTAGTTATGGGGGTGGGGCATTTTGACCTATGTCTATATTAGATATTTGAGGGTACAATTTAAACATGAATTTCGACCAAGGTTAATGTTGCCAGATTTATTTGTCAAATTAATCTGCATGTCAAACCATGAACGAAATGTCAAACTTTTGGATTAGTTCCGTGACATTTTTTAATGTTAATGTTCGACGCCAGCTTGGTTATATATATATGATTACATGATTATTTACCAATAACGATCCAGCATAATATGCTTGAGCTGTCCCAAAGAATTTGGGTTATGCATTTTCAACCTAATACAAGCCACAGCAAAGTCGATAAATTTTTTAATTGTGTGTCATTATTATAGATGCATTCGCAGTGAAAACATGCATTTAATTTATTGTTGTCGATAGGTAAAATAATCGAATTATTATATTTTATCGAACAGAATTATTTTACAGAGTTCTAAAATCGAATGTATAAAAATATGAGATTGCATCCCTGACCAGTATAAGTCGGCTTTTACATTGTTTTGCAACCGCCTTGTGGATATGATTTGTCCAAACAAGCGTTAATAAAATGGAATATGAAACCTCCTTACCTGAGCTTAGTGGTAATTCAATTGAAAGTTAATAAGTAGTTGCATCTTGTTTGCTTATGATATATTAAACAATACATTTCTATAGACACGAATGAAATATATATATACACACATATATATGTATAAGATATATTTATATGTATATTTATATTTATATATAAACTGCATGATTCCCTGTGTACTTTAATATCATCTGAATATGGCTAGAGTAAAATGCAAGACAAAATACATATGTGCTCTGCGGTAAAAACATTTTAGGACTCTTTGTTATAGCAGACAGTACTAAATACATATGTACATACATACAACTCGGGCCTCATTTGACATTAAATGTTAAAACTGGTCGTAAAAATGTATGTTATTACCATACACAATCAAGATCAGCAATATTATTGTGTTAACTGTTCTGCAGTATCTAGAATTTGCCCAAAAGTTGCAGTTAATTTACAATTGTAGCTCTGGTTCATATTCGTGAAGTATGTACATATGTATGTGTTTAAGAAAGTGACCCTTGCGAAATTTTACATCGGGTATATCGAAAAAACGAGTCATTTTGGCACTTCCTTGTAGACAGTTGCCAACGGTATTGCAGATGTGTGGAAATAGTGATAGTTCGTAAATGTGAAGTTTGATAAAAATATTTTGAACAAAGAATCAAGCAACTACTTACCGACCGATAATTTCTATATAAGCTATGATTTAGTGATCCGATGTTAATAAGATTTAAGTGTATTGAGCATAGCAACTGGATTAACAAAAGTTTCCAACCAATAACCTACTTTTGGACCGCATAGGAGAAGCACTGAATGAGTTAAGATGGACTTCAGAGGATACTGCAGGATGTTTCCTATGAGATACAATACCCCACTTCAGCCCCATTGATTTCTACTCGTGCAGGTCAATTTCTTTTTTTCCAGGCATTTGACTGATTCACTGAAGCAGTCACTCGTTTCAATGGCAGCTATATGCTATATTTCTCCAATTCGGTCGGGTCCGATATATAGTTTGGACTGCCTGTAACAGAATGACGGATCTATGTAAATGTCAAGTCGGAGCTTCCCTGTCTTTCAAAGATCTGGCGATCATTGTTATTGGTAGACAGTTTTAGAACATGAAGGTCCCATGCCAGAAGATGCCGTAGAAACAGACAGTTCCCCCTATTGCACGCATCATCAACGCCTTTCTTGTCAAGGATTGCAGGGTGCCTATTTCTTTCTCCTCCACCCAATGGATATGAGTACAGTTTTGAATATATCGCGTCGTTGTCAATTATGATGACAGAAGAGTTGTGTGGCAGCGATCCGTTAGAGTTTGCCCGTATGCATGAACGCAAGGATCTCAAAACCTATAAGAGCTAGATACTTGATATTTTAAACGTGGTCCTCCTAGTTTTTTTCCCGATGTGTTTGTTACAACAAATATGTGGTATTGTTGGTGCTTATACTGAATAATAATAATAATAATTGCATAAAATCTTTTTTTTGATTTTGATACATATATTTAAAAAAATGAATAACTCTTGTTTTCAGATGTTCTCGCATTAAGCTGCAACAAGAGGCTTGAACTGCTGGAGTCGTTTTTAAGTGAACCAGATGGCGATAAAAAGTTAAATTACAGCCTTAACTTAGAGGATAATTTTAAAAGTCACCAATTTTCAATTGATGCTTTATTGGATACATTTATACTGCTTTATGATGAATGCAGTAACTCATCTCTTCGCAGAGAAAAAAGTGTATCGGACTTTCTTAAGCTTGGTAAGTTCAAAACGCATTTTTATATACCCTGTTCACAACGTACATACTTGTTGGTTTTTTTGAATATGCGTCTTGCTTATCGTCCGTCTTTCGTATAATGCAATTTTCGCCGCTTTTGTAATTTAAAGCTTTAAGCTTAAAAAATATTCTTGTTTATATTCTTGTCAACGTGTAAAATCTGCGAAATGTATGTACGAATTTATGAAATTTTCAGGTCTTAAATATATATAATATGTCTCTTGCTTTCAACATGATATTTTTGTTCAATTTTGCCACCAATCCGATCCCATAAAGTATATATATTCGTGATCAGCAATTGGCTTTTTGAGAATACATGAATATTTCATAGTAGTATAACATCTACCGTTGAAAATTTTACGGCTTTGGCTATTGCACCCTTACGATACAGGAACGTATTTCTTCACAAATATCTATTCCTAAGGTAACTGCATCCAAATAAAGTGATGAATAGTTTAAGTTATCAGGAACAATCATTTGCATTTATCCACAACAAACTCGTAGAATATCCATTACATAAGAAAGCTGTATCCCTTCAGTACGTTTCTATTCAAAGTACCAATCCAACGAATCGGTCGAATTTTGAAATAACCCTTGATTAAGTTGTCAGTTGAAGCTTACTAGCGGGGTGTGCCAATAAAACAAAACCCAGCAGAAAAAGGTTTGGTTAGCTTCGTTTAGTTAAGTTTCAACCTTTTAGCCAGTTTTGCAGACGATTGTTCTCGAATGCTCATTGCTTTTAATGCATCGGAATTGGTTGTTACCCCAAAAAATGTTATATTCAGCCTCAAACGAGCTCATTTTCATGGTAAGTTCCCTTCTTTTTTTTATTTGTTTTGTGTTTATGGTGGTTGATTAAAAAGTTCTTTCCGTTTTAACCACTGACTTGATTTTATTGTCTTTCCAAAGATATTCGTCGCGGAGGACATTCCCAAGTTGTGCACTCCGACAAAGAGATGAGAGAATTTGGGTCATTAAGCGGATGTAGATTTGAGTTCACACCTCGTGAACACTGCAATTATGAGGCCCTTGGAAGGCAGGTGTAAAAACTGTCAAATACCTTCTCCCGTAGGTGGGCAAATCGTTTTGGTCGAAGTTAGGTCCGTGATGAACTATCAACCAGGCTCAAAGCTATGTTGACCCCCGAGAACCGACTGACACTCTAGTTTATGATCGGACCCCGTATCAGGAGAGCCCAGGTTGATTAAAATGGTTTCGCGATTATGTGCTAGACCTCCATCAGGGGTAAGAGACATCCGCAGCAGTTAACCACGGAAAACGCGACCTCGTGATGCAACTACCAGCGAGTGTTGTCGCAATGTATATTTGCTGCCTTACGGTTTTTTACATGGGGTAATAAAAACCCAATAACTGTGTCTTCTTGAAATGTCACTTATATTTGCGTTACAAGTTAATTAGTATTCTTCCTGTCAAATTTCAATATAAAAGGTCTAGCTTTCGAAAACCAAGAAAACAAATATTGAGAGCTTATCAAAGTTAGAATCTATTGCTTAAAAACCCCAAAAAGCAACAATCTGTTCTAAAACTATATTTAAAACTTGTTTAAAATAATATTGATTTTATAACTTAATTTTAATTTTTCTTTACGAATTTCAGCTAAACCGTTTGTCCACATTGTAAGGAAGCTTCGCCTGACACGTGAAGACTTTGAAATATTAAAAATTATTGGACGTGGAGCGTTTGGTGAAGTTTGTGTTGTTCGCATGCTCTCGTCGGAAAATATTTTTGCAATGAAAATATTAAACAAATGGGAGATGCTAAAGAGAGCTGAGACGGCATGTTTTCGCGAAGAAAGAGACGTGTTAGTTCTTGGAGATCGTCAGTGGATCACAAACTTGCACTACGCATTTCAGGATAATATAAATTTGGTATGCTATAAACAAACACTTTGATGTCTTGGGTGTCGATAAAATCAGCTTTTAGGAGAATTCAAATGTTCTTAAGTGCATCCAAAAAACACTTTAACACATAAGAAAGTACGGCGGGAAGGTTAGGCAGTCGCTGTAATTTTAATGCTGTCAGCTTCGCCCTATCTAAAATACATTTTTAATAAATCAAACTTGATCTAGAATTCTAACCATGAAGAAATGGCAATACCTTATGAAAATCAGTTGATTTTTGACCGACTTATGGGGTTTGAGAATGAGAGAAAAAGTAGTAAATTTGATGTTACATTTATCAGTCTCATAAGTTTCACATTTTTCGATATCCCTTTTTTTTTTCATTTTAGTACCTGGTTATGGACTAT